CGGGTTAAAATTTAGGAGTTTACTTTTGCGACCAACCCCGGTAAATTGGAATATCATAGTTGTCTGATTTGATAACAAATCATTGTGTTTATAATATTTGTAAAATGCAAAATCGCATGATGTTGTCAAAAATTAAATCAAATGAATTTCACTCAATCCAGACTGTCATTTTAAATCGTTGTTATTTTATATTTTTCCCATTTTCGATCCTTTTTCCACTTTCATTAGCCATTTTTGAAAGCATAATCCTTCATTTGCCATTGCTTTTAGGCGTTTACATAGCATTATAGAAACACTATTAGTAAACCGACTTTGCTCTTTCCGACCCGGCACAATTGAAATATGGTTCATGATAGCCCTCGTTTTAAAACTTATTAGATAAGCCATAATAGTGCCGCGAATACGATACAAACACTTCATTTAAGGTGAAAGCTTATTTAGAATTTCTATTTAGTGTCCATGCTCAAGCCTTGAAATATAGCTTTGAGACTCTTAGTAAATATAATGTTATAATATAATACCCAAATTTGGTAACAACAATTGAAACAAATTCGGCTCATTTTAAGGAAATTACAAGCAGGTCATCGATATGATTGGTGGTGCCGGTTTTCTGAGATAAAGATTCGAGTACTTCCGGAACGCTATGACTGATGTAGTCGGATTTGGAAATTGACATAGCCTTGTTGCAAAAACGATAGTTGAAACAAGTCTGCACTTTGCAGTTCATAATTGTCTGCACTTTGCAGTTAGGAATTTCTATAGTAAGTCCGTAACCTTTCGAGCAAAAACAACAGATTACTGTAAAGTTCCTATAAACTAATAAAATTCCGATACTTTGAAGAAGTAAAACAACCTTACGCCAAGTTGCTCTGTTCTTTGTTCTTGTAGACCATGTTTAATCATTTCGAGGTCATTGTGCAATGCAGCTGTAGAAACTTACGTGCGGAGTGGGAGCTTTTGAACAATAGTTTCTGATAAAGTACATAAACATATCATCCGATGTTGGGCGAGAATTCCGAAGAGTTATGTAATTAATGTGAACCTGTGTACAAACCGAAAGTCTGTATGCAATTAATTTATCATGGCAATTAGGCCAGACCGTTTACCGTTTAAAAAATCGTTAATGTCGCACGTTTTTCGAAGTATTTCAAAATCCCGAGATATGCGAAAATATCTTAAACTGCCTTATTTATGCATGGATGACAGAAGGCTAAAGTTATCACGGTTACTGCAATTTTTTGTTGAATTTCGCAATTTGCATACAAAATCGATTTACTATAGATCATGTCCTTCTACATGAACTCAATTCCCCCATTTTATGAATGGACCTGTCAATTTAAGTTCGCTTAATATGATCAGAAAGTTTCACAAAGTTGTTTCACAAGAACAAAATCGTAATGTCTATTCTAATGCTCGGGAAAATGGGGAATAAATTTCATTGGCTCCATCGACCTGCTTGGGTATAGGCCAGCTATGGAGAAGGCAAAACCAAATTCATGATATAATTAGACCAACCTTGGAATATGATACAATGAAATTGGAGACACCACGCTAGATGACGTCAGCGAAAGAGCATATTGATTGAGCCGTTGCCGTGTTGCAACAAAAATGCAACACAATTACTGTCATGCAGAATACAGAATCTCCAAACACTTCAAATCTATACATCAGTGATAATCTACATATCGAAATGTTTTCAACATAATATTTAGTATGTTGCCTATTTGCCACATTAACATGAACTATAAATGGATGGATCATGCTTGCAGGCTCTTCCAACTAATAATTTATTCGGAGCATGACATCGTGTTCCATTGACGATACTGAGATGAATAAATTTCACTACGCAATGTGGCAAATGCAGAAATAGATTGAGAGTGAAGAGTATGTGATTGGAAGAGTAAGTACTATGATCTCTCAAATTCCCAAGGACTTTCCAAAGGCCGAACCTTTACCAAAGCTATAGTTGTTAGAAATAGTTTGTGAAAAATATCATACCGTAAGGCGATGTAGGATTTTTCATATTTCGATTGATAAACCGTTGATCTCGATAAATGCATTTGACATAAAAACAACATGTAAAACATACTACAAAACGCACCGCGTAGTCGGACGCGATGATCTTACTATGCCGGCCAAAGAACATCAGTCCTACGCGTCACCACGCAAAGTCGGAAAGGGAAACGTGATTCAGGAGTGGGGCGTGAGAAAAGAGAGAGAAAAGAGCACAGGTTCCGTTCTGTTCCACGCAAAACATGCTAAATCATATCCGTAAACAGCACGTCGTGTCATCTGACGAGTTTACAACGTGTATGTACAATTAGACCCCAATATAATTAAAGTCGGAGACAATCCTCAATTGATGTATATTATATGCATTCATCAGAAAACACTGAGTTTTGATCAGCGGTGTGCAACATTTTTTGTAGGCTGGCCATATAACCAACCTCAGACATCTATAGCTGGTCCAGGAAAATAAAATATATTGTTCATGTACACAACCAATTAAAGAATTCTTACAATGAAAAGGCTATCGCTTCGCCTTACAGCAATGAAGGCTCCGGGAAAAACGCCAAAAAAATTAACGCAGTGACAAGAGCAAAAAAAATTATGTATTTATACCCAATTGTGCGACTTTTTAAACATAAACTGTCGGATTAGCATTAAATGTCTGATGGGAAACAATCTGAGTGTTGATATGGGCCACACTGAATGGCTCGGTGGACCGGGTTGGGGCCCGCCTGTTGCACACACCTGGTTTAGAAAAACCAATGGATCATGCCCACCTGTTACAATAAATAATTGTACACCGCTGTACCGTATTTTGCTCACCCAACCGCGACTCAAGCTTTCCAACATATTATGTATTATGTAGTGTTGCTAAAGTAGTGTGAGCAAAATTCGGCATTTACATTTTTTTTAAATAATTCCAAGCTATATCGAGAAGTGTTTGCTAGTACTTTGTCACTTTTAATATTTTATTCAATTTCAACGTATTTGCACTTACAAACTAGCAGAGAAAACGGGGGAGTCTACTCGAAGCCACAGTTGGTTTGAGACATTAACTGGTAATAAACCATGTCTCGACGCATGCTAATTAGCGCCAAAACACAAACGACCTCATATGCAACAACGTGACGCGTTTCCAAGATAATATTCCCATCCGTAATATCAATTTTAAAGTCATTAATATTCGCGCATCGCGCACGAAGCAAGCATAGACCAATTAAAATATTAATAGTTGAGCACAAACATCCATGAATAAAGCATAATCGTTTAAAAACGCTACGTAAATATTTCCCGACTAAGGGATGGTTTGGATCGACTGACGTAATTGCGTCAATCGGAAGAGTTTGAGTCACATACGCCGATAACGGTCGAGTGCCGACGCACCAGAAATGCAGAGCTATTTTGAATCCACAAGTAACGTAGCTAGCAATGCCGACAAACAGCATATCTAATTACGCACGATAACTCAACAAAATTTTTTACAAAATTCTGTCTCAAAACAATATGCTCTATATAGACAATTGAAGTTGAGAAAGCACAAAATGCTTTTTAGAGAATCTCAAAATGAGATTTGAAAAAGGCATTAGGTGGTGGTTGTATGATCACCAAAAATACTAAATTTGCAGCAGGAGTTCTCATAAACGTCATTTAGTTGGAAAATCCAAATATTAACAATGAAAAATAACATTTCCAAAAAGAATTTACTACGTCATGAAACAATCCCTTTGACATTGATCTGTTCGTTTAAAATGATATGTAAGCAGTCAGATAAAATGGTTTACCATGTAGAGTGATGGAGATTGAATATCAAATAGTACATGGAAAGAAGGCTTTTCAAATAACGGTTAGAGATAATTCTAGTTCGTTTTGTCATAGTTCCAGAAGGGATGTGAAAACACAAATCCTCTGCCGTGCTATCGCTTCCTATCCGTTGACAATTAATTTAAAGTGCAGCAATAACACTCACATTGTCCATGTCCATGGTAAATTTCTTAATGACATAGCTAACACTAATTATCCTCTTCCGCCATATTTTCCAACGACCAAATTATTGATTATGTGGAAACAAATGATTGGCAAGCGAATGAATCGACTAATCCCTATCGTTGGTAAATAGCTACAGTGACGAAATAGAATCCAAGATACATTACATGCGGATATAAAAGGAAAGACATGTTGGTGGTATGTGTACCTTTTCATAACCTATCTATTTATCATGAATCCTCGATTTATACGCCGACAATCATTGAATCTGTCATTGAGCGATTTTAAAATTCGATCTCAAAAGTTACAAGGTCTTATACCCAAAGCTAGCTAAAAAATACTCAACAAAACAAAATTCACCCATTTGATCTGGAAAAGATTATAAATTTAAAGATCAAGCTGACTAGATGACCGATGATCATTTCCATGGCCTAACTCGGCTGGTACAGCAGTAAAAAGATCCCATATTGAAAGCCTAATTTGTATAGCAGTCGACCAATGATCACTTTTTAACCGGGTGTTTTATTATGAATCCTTCGATTATTTTATACCTATAAATGTCAGTGAGAGAGATGTTCAGATTGCCAGTATATAATACTCCATGAAACTAGCTGTAAGTTATAACAACTCCGATTTCTGATGCGATATTACCTGAATTATTACTTGACAGCCTATGTGAACGTATGAAAAATTTCAAGCATCTCCATCACTGCACATGCTGCAACGAAAGCACTTTGCTGTTTTACCTATTAATCTAAAATTGCCAATCGCCATTCATATCAGTCAGGTGTTCATAAACATCCGAAGAGCTTAAAATACCTTCGCAGTAAACCTGGCATGTACATTAGACAAGTTCACACTCTCTGAAATCTGCATGTGTCCCGAACTAATTGCGATTAAGCTATAGAATCACCATGGATGGGATTAAGTAGAGTGATATGTAAGACTACGGATTCATCACCATAGTACTAATTTCATCTTTTCCTTACATACAAAATAGCAAACACTATATTTCTGTGTATTTATATTTGAACTCCAGTAACTAAAAAAAGGAGCGAAAACGTGAGCCGGGTAAAGAAACAAGAGAATAACACACCGACAAAAAAACAATAACAACAAAAAGAACAAGAACAACTGAATAATTCCATTGCCGAAACCGCACGGTCAACGTGGGTTTGGAACGAATAACAAACCGAGTAATGAGAAAAGAAAAATTCCTGTTTTCTAGACAAAATTTTTGCGGTTCAACAGCGCTAAATTCTTTCAAATGTATCAGAAAATTATTTTTGAAACAGAATACAACGAGTACATACAACAATAAATTCAAATATCAGCACCCAAGGGTTGCTAAAACCCATTCCTAAAACGACATTTTTCGAAAAAAAGAAGATGAAACAAAATTCAAAAGTGTTGAAAATATTATCATTTCAATAATAAAATTTCTGGGAAATCAAAATCTATTTTTAAATAAACAAAAAAATATACGAGCAAAAACTGGAACTTGGTCGAAAATCTAAATTTGAAACGATTCACTTTCATTTGTATAAATCGATATTCGAACGAGATCGTAATCATTGAAATAGGAGACTGATGGCTATTCGAGTAACTTTTGAAACGACATGAGAACTGTTATTGTAAAAACACACTGCTATATTATTCAAACAGGCCATACTTAAAACCCTCATCTCGAAGACATGTTCTAGACGTAAATTTATAGTAAATTTCTATCATGAAACGTTGAACATTGCAATCAGGTTTAAACTGAGGAATTGGTTGAGTTTGATAGTTTCGAATGGCGCTCCTTGGCAAATAAATTGATTGATAGATAGCACATAGTTTTTAGCACAATTTCGGTATCATGGCACGTACATGATGCCACTCTGCACATCTTTAAAGCGTCCACGAGGCGCAGTTCAACGCAACATTTCGCAGGACAAGAGGTTAATAGTCCTTTGCACCGTGATGCAATTTTAGAAAACATTTCAGTTTATGTTTCCTGTTCTACCTCTTTTTTGACTTTTATTTCCCCCTTCAATATAGTGGAAATTTCGCCTTTCATAAAGGCCCATGGTACGTTGGATCCGACTAACGGGCATTTTAGGCCACTTGGACAATACACTTCGCCGCCTCTAGCGGTTTGGTCCTTAATACTGCTTCTAGAGCAGGGAAAGCAAAACTTGTGAGCACCTTGTGATGGACACTGCACAAAATGTGTGTCTTCGAGCCGTCCGTGACAAAGAGCGCAATTGAGAGGCGGCATTGTCACACCAATGGTTGTGGTACCAGGTAATGGCATACTGGACGTGGGTGTTGTGGGTACCGTGGATGCTTGTTTCGGACTAGCAGATTTGGGATTGGCATTGGCTCCGCTTTCGTTGCTACTGGTACTACTTGATGTGCGGACTCTAACTCGGTTGTTACTGCTATTGTTGTTTACTTCACTTGGTGTCACTGGAGGCGTAGGTCCGTGAACTCCAGTAGGTGAGGTCACGCTCGGCACAGATGGTGCTTGCTGAAGTGGATGGTGATGCGTCGAAGAGTCTGGGTTTTGAGACAAAGAAGATCCGCTGGCGTTGCTACCGTTGCTATTTGTGCGGTGAGCTTGAGTACCATTCAACGGACTGGTCGGTACTCGTTTCGTCTCTGTCGGCGATGTCACGCTTTGACTGCTTGGTGCAGCTGAGTGAGTTGATGATGGACTTTGAGGGCCATCGCTTACGCTGTGACCTCGCGGTTCCGAATGGATGCTTTGTGGAACCGAAGTGATCGATCGTCCAGGAACAAGCATAGCCGCAGAACTTTTCAACGACGTAGGCGAAGCTGAACTTGTTGCCAATGCATGTTGCTGTTGCATCATACCGTAACTGATAGCACCTGGTAGGATGAGTTTCGATAAGGCATCGGCCTGTGTGAGAGATATTCTGCTCGCGATACTGGAGGTAACGGCACTCATATCGTAAACCATTTTGTTGCTTGGAGCATCATTGTCAGCAGAATCAGGAGATAATTTTCGTTTATTATTACGAGGAAAATACGGTGTTCCTTTTATCGACATATATGTGGGGCTAGTTAGTTGATGTGTGGCGGTTGTGGGAATTTCTGGATAAAGGGGATCCTGGAAAGGCGTTGGAAGTGCATCACGAGGTATTGGTTCTCTGAATGAGCGGGTGCCATCCGGTAAGAGGTCGCCTAGCAATCGCCAATCTCCAGATCCGTGTTTCATTTCGTACTCAATGTACTTGAATCCTGAACTCAAGGTTCCTTTTCCCATATCTTTACGAGTGTCCTGAAACATTTGCTTCGCAACACCCGATGCGCTGGTGTAAACATTTCCAGATCCTACAGGGTATTCGATGTAGACTTTCATCTCGTAATCGGTACCTGGCTTATAGGGTGCGTCGAAAGTGATCACTCTTCCACGCAAATCGTGGTCCTTTTTGAATCGGACTTCGAATGGGGTGCATTGGTTTAAAGTGTGAACTGCCTCCCTCACGAGCGTTGCCTTTTCGTCATGCAATGCGTAGCTGTAGTGCGACACACTGTGGTGACGACTGTGTGACTCTGATGGGATCTTTGCACTAAGCGGACCGGTGCTATTATGTCTAGCCGCAACAGACGTGTTCACGTATTCGGGAATGAGCGACAATCTACCTGGGTGACCGGGCATGATCCCGGGACTGCCGATGATGCAACCGTTTGGTAGAACGTGAGTCGAAGCTCCAGCAAGAGAGACTGGTAAGGAACCGCGTCTGCTTGAAATGGAAACAGGAGTATCATCGTCTTTTACCTGCTGATAATGGGAAATCCCGTTCAGTATACTCTTGTGGGAGTTGCTTGAGTTAGAGTTGTGTTGATGTCCATACAATGTCACCCCGCTTTTAGATTCATGAGAGGGTACGTGATAACGATCTAATCGATGTACATCACTAGAGTGATTGTTGCTGTGTTCAACTTTAACGCCAGATTTGTGTGAAGGCGAACGTCTACTACCTGATTGGTGCGTTGGCGGATAGTGTGATCCATTTACTGATGACGCCGAGTGATCGTGGGCCGAGGATCCGCCGCGTCGATACGCCTGGTGAGCGTGCTTTTGTTGCCGCGCGCTGTCTAAAACAGACTCGATCCTGTCCGGTCCTTCATAGTTCACACAGCCACGGCAAACCGGCTCAGTAAAATCGAAAACCATTGCCCAAGGCATCCTTGGAAGATCACAAAGGTAGCAATGCTGCCTTGATGGCCTGGAACTTCCTTGAGTTGCAGCCATGGTTCTTCGGGTTGATTGCCCAGCACTTTCCTGTGGTGTTATGTCACTTTTGGTTTGATTATTCTCGTTTATATGCGGAAGACCCTTTGCGGGATACCGCTTGCGCAAAACAGGCATATAAATCTCGAAAATTTGATCATATAAATATTCATAGAGCACTGCAAAAATGAAATTCGAAATACAAAAATATATTAGATTTTTATAATCAACTGTCAACACCGCGACAGTCGAAGCTAACTCAACCTAAGCACCTTTGCTTATGAATGCAACTTTCAATGCAGTAAATTATATAACAGCTAATTGAAGCTCACACACGTATTGGAATAGTTTACGTGAATTGACTCAACGTAATTTATGATACTACGTTACTAGGAACGATGTACTAATCATAGGTTACTCACACAATGCTTCATGCTGCGCCTAATATTATGCATAAATGCAGTAACTATATTGGTTGCATTGATATATTGAAGCAACCCGGCGTTGTACCTAATGCACAAACTCAATCGACGCTAAGGTTCCCAGCGACACCTCGCCCGACGAAGGCTACAACTCGTCTGTTTCGCACGCGAAGAATCTGCGGTATTTGTCATGACGTAGCCGTCGGGAGGAAGGACGCCCAGAAAAAAGGCGCAGTCGAGAGAGCGATCGCGGACGGCGAGGTCTGATTGGGCTCGATGGTTAAACCACTGAATACGAGAGATAATATGCAACGTAATACAACATGGGAGAAAGAAACAATATTATCCTAGTGTTCACGCCCGCTTTTCAATCAATCGCAATCGCTTACCATTCACACATGGGCTGCGGATAACGTCTAAAATTTATGTCCGATCGTTCCTTTGCTATAAATATTAAAATTTATGCCCTTAGACTGAAATACCAACACTGGCATGGGTGAATCTAAAAACGCACGCTCTCTTTTAGTCATCACGATACGAACGTAGCGAAATCTTTTTACTTGGCAATAAATATAAGCTTTATATTTCATTTTTGGGCCACAGGTTAAAGCGCGCATTAAAAAAATGGAAGTGCTCTTCAGAACTACGTCATATCGCTGAAGCGTTCGTGTCAAAACCAAGCCTTTAAGCGATTATGATTCTAAGCGCAGCACATACACACAAAAGTGTTACGATGCGTTAACTCATACATTTGGCATACGTAACTATTTAGAGCGTTATTGGAAGGCAGCTATCGAGCGCTTGTACTGACCGCAGGCGACGGGATGTGACGTAAATAGTAAATTGACGAATCGTTGAAAAACAAAACACTTTAAGCTTACGGGTGAACTTTAAACGAATTAGCAGCCTCGTATAAATCTCACGAGCGGAATTTGTTTAATGCAAATGTACGTCAATTTCAACAAAGTAGCTTTTCGTGTTATATGAATGACTATGTCCTAATACTATACGAAGATATTTATTGGAAAATACCATTTTTGAACCTTCCAATGCGTAAGAGTTTGAATTTAGTTAGGCAATCGAACAATCATCACCCAGAAACACGAAAAATATCTCAAAGGCAGAACTGATTACTTTTCTCAAAACGACATGACGCAGGCATAATTGAAACACGTCAAATAAATATTACCGCCATCTAAATAATAATAACAAAATAATAATTTAACCACTGTAGAAATGTGATTTCAGTCTTTCCACTTAGTCATTGGGTTCGGAGTAGAAACTCTAATACGCGGAAGCAAGAAAAACGCGTAACATCCCAAACTGCCATCCCAATATTGTTACGATGATCTTCAATATTACAAGATCGCTAAATCATTTTACCTGCGGATTCGTAAACGACATATACCTAAGCTAATACAGTAGCTAATGCACAAATTTGTAACCAGTAAAATATGAGGGAATATTTCAAAGCATATGGCTGAAATTCTACACCACTTATATTGAAATGCTTTGATAACAATAGAGTCAACAAACGCACGCATTTCCTTCACCAATTACTACAGAAATGCCATAACGCTTGCTCTCTTGAGACGATTCCATATTGTAAAGACAAAGTATACCGGATACAGGTATCCGGTACAGGTATACAAGCTAATTCACCGACATAAATCTGTAAGAAAAGGCTAAAAAATCCAGCTACGATAAGTTCAAATTAAGCCAAGATAAAATATTGATATGTGAAGTTTTTTCATGAATGAGGGAATGGGAAATGGAGAATGATTACCGGAACCGAACTCCTTATTCGAAAAACTGTAAATAACTCTAACACTTATTTCGTGATACACCTCCAAATCGCAATTTTGACCGACATCCTACAAATGAATATAAACTGCCATTGTGAACATACATTGACAATGGATCAGTATACGACAGAGCGCTCCTCCTTTCTACCAATTGTAGAACTATGTCATGTCATATACTAAAGAAAATCCGGTATTGAAGGAGGTAAATCAATAAATGATAGCAAAACTTTTTGCAACAATTATTTCAGAATTTCATATTGAGCTAAGATAGTAAAATTCTTCGAAATGAATATTGAGAGCAACAGTGCATTCACCATAAACTTCTGATTAGAAGCAACCACGAAAACAATAGTAATCTATAACGTGCATTTGAAATTTTAACGTTTATAAAATATCTTAAAATTATACATATAAAACTTGTCTATAGTAAGCAATCAAATGAGTCAACTGGGCAATTTTTGTATAGGTCGCTTATTGTGGTACTTTAAAAATACAAAATCAAGGCCTTCTCGTTTTGTAATGAGATTTGCTATATTCGTAACCAACAATCATAAGGCAACATACAACCGCGATTACCATGCTTTATGTGGCGAGGAAGGGGAAGTGCGGTGGATGATCCATTAAAAATGCCTACGCCATAGTTTCAAATTGCATCTCTGTTGTTCGTTGTGTTTTCACCGGAAAATAATTCACAGTGGGTGGAATACGCAGAATCACACCGGAGCTTGGTCATGAGCAGAGGTGTGATTAGCGGAGATACCACTAGAGAAGTATAGATAGACGTGTCCCATTATCCAACAAATAAAATCTATTTGGACATAATCTAAAGTTCTTGTCTATAATTCGGTTGGATTCAAATTTATTAACCGCTCAGTTGTCTATTAAACAAGAGAGCAATACTCAAATATATGGACACGAAGACCAAAATGGAGTAGTATCAAATCATTCACAGTACATGAAGCCTCACCACTAAATCACTGAGATGTGATCACGGAACCACGACACGCAATTTTCAAATTTGACGATGTCATCATACAAAACTTCGAAAACGAATCCCACAGATACTTTTTAAAATAAATAAAAGGTATATATAGCATTCTAGCGACAACAACAAGCATCAACCAGTGAACATTTCAAAGCCATATGTCCAGTAGTAGAAAAAACAAAATATTAACATAACGATCCAATTTGCGTCCAAAAATGATGAACAAATAGTATACCATTTCCACTTCCAATGTCCAAGTTCTTTACCACGGAGACACTGAAATACGTGATGCGCACTTCGGTGGCGATTTTAAACAAGCAGACATTGGATGTCTGCCTAATATATAGAAGATGATAACATCGCATTGGCAATTATACTGACGAATAAAATATTGAAATAGTCTGAAAATCAAATTTTTTTTTAAATGTTATCGCATATTTCTTCAGACTACATCCATTAGGTGACCGATTTGCAATACCAGGAGACTTAATGTTATCTGATATAAAACTTTGCGAGGCGGTATTATTCTTATTTTTTATTATTTTTCAAATTTTTATTTAGTATCACGTGGAGGTACCTTCGTATGCAAAATGGATCCACACAATAGCTCAGCCCACGAAATTCGTCATTTGTACAGTTCCAACGGAAATTCATTCATTGTATCTTGCTTTTGAACGATTGCAAATAGTACAGTGGCATAGGCCAGTCGGCATAAAGAACAGGCTGTATTCCCCAGCCTGACCCGCACAAATATTGGATTGGTACGGATAATGAATTGGTATAATATAATTACCATAAACAATTTCACAACCAAGTGCTTCGTTGAACGCATAATCACGAGAAAATTCATTTATAATTTACATATTTTTGAATTGAAAAAATAAAATAAATTTTTTTATTTTGATTTAGTAAGCGTGCTTCTTTGTTTTTATTGTTCAGTCTTACGCAGAAGAACCTTACTATATCAATATAAAGAATACTCGAGAGAATTGACGAACGCGCGTAATGATCGTTATCCATTCACTATCAACAATATCAGGAAGCGTGGTTTGGTTCCGGTGGTTGTGGCTCACCTTTACGTTGTTACGCATTTATGCTATTGTCTCATAGAAAGACAGAAACATTCAAAATTTTAGAAGTAATATGCTGCCCAGATGGATCAAATTACCGAATTACCGTTTGTGTGGTATTAAAATTTTTTAATGTGATGATGTAGCTGATGCACTTGGCAACTCCGCTAGGCCTAATAATTCCAGATGGTAATTTTGCACGTTTGCTAACGATGTCCATGACATCAAGCAAGAATAAATCAAATTCATACGATAGAAAGATGTCGCTAGTCAAGGAGTCCTGTTATAAGTTGCAACTTGAAATTTAATGCAACATTTATTGTTGTAGGAAACAAGAGTCGAAACTAGTTTTCGTACGATACAGTTAGCAATGGCGAAACTAACTCACTTATACACAAGACCAACACATTATTATTTCATTTCGAGGGTATTAAAGAATGGTATCATACGAAATACGCCAGCCCTATATTACTCTAAGGAGGACCCCATTTAAAATGCTATCTAGCCGGTCATACATACACCGATATTCCCACAGATTCATGCGTAGGTATGGTGCAATTTAGCAGGTGAATTGGCATAATAGCATCATGTAACAAAATCTTCCCATGCGGCACACAAGTGTTTCAGTCTGTTGGTGATCATGCGACGAAAATATCACATGACCAATGGATGGTTTGATTATGAGTCACGTGAATAAAGAAAACAATGATCCCTGGTAAATAACAAAAAGTTTTAAAAACAAGATAATATGTGTCAATCATGGCCGTCAAATACACCTCGACATTTATAAAATTATCCATGACCGAAGACTTAATAGAGCCAAACGACGTAAAGAAATTTACGCAGTGATGTTTTTAAGTAGATGACTGACGCACGCAAGTCTGGCGCCTTTATTACGTAAATATAGATCGCTTAAAACAGTCGACGTGACCGGAATTAAAGCGACCCGGAGAGCTGATCAGGTACCATTTTTAGCGGACGCAAAACAACTGATAAATTATTGTAAAATTTAAAACAATTTTAACTGGGGAACTAAATATCACAAGATAAAAGACTTCTTTATAACAAGTATTTTCACCTTATCGTTATCTTTTTGGACTGATGACTCACGCACATCACGTACATCTTGGACTGCTACGCATTTGCGTGAGCGTGAAATTTACGGTCGTCGACGTTGACGTGACCCGAACGCAGAATGAAAGCCTAGAACCTTGATAACTTTGAAATATCAAAACAAACAACAACCATTCTGATGAGTAACACTAAACCAAAAATACTCCGAATCCATCGCATTTCGAAAACACTTAATCATATGTACTTTATTTCCGTACTTTAACGACCTTTTCAACGTATCCGGTTAATGTTAAAACTTTATTATTTAGCGTATCGAACTGAAAACGCTAAATGTGAATATAAACAATATTGTCAGAGAATAACAAACTAAGAGGAATATACTAAACAAGTCCAACACTATACTAACTTTATTATTCATTCTTTAGTTAATTACT